ACAAGGCTGGGCACACGACTGCCTCTCCCAAGTGCCTGTTGAACTATTTAGACATGAAAACCACTTTCATGAAAAATGTGTTCCTGGAAACAACCCATCACATTCCTGGGAAGGGAGCCCCCAGTCCCTCTCAGCCCACCCTGCCCCATCCACAGTTTGAGTTCTGACTGGGAACTGGGCTCCCATTCAGCCCATCTGCTCAGTATCACTTTGGTTGCTTTTTCTCAGCTTCCTATTAGGAAAAAAAAAAAAAATCCCCTTGAAAAACACAAACAGCAAAGAGGTGGGGGAGGGTATGCGAAGGATGGATGGCACCACGCGTGTTGTCAGGGGCAAGGGGATGGGGAGGTTCTCGGGCTGGAGGCAGTACTGCTCCTGCAGTCCTGCCACCCTTCACTGTGGGAGAAGCAACCGGAAGGGCTGTCCTTGAGTGTATGTGGTGGGATGAGAACAGCACTTTCCAGTGGCCTGGGTCTTAGCATTTCACTTACTCTGCTGAATGCAGAAGGAACACAACTAACTTCACTGGGACCTTGAGTGAGCCATTTCTTACTTCTGGGACTCTGGTTTATCTGTAAAGGAATTGGCTTACCCATCCCTGACATTCTGACTCCCAAAGTAACTAACCAAAGGGGTGTCCACCACCCCACCCTGAGTCTGCATTGCCAAGGGAACCAGTTTTCTCACTGCTCAGATGCTCAGGGGACGCAGAAGCAATTAATGGACCCAGGGCTGGAGGAGAGAGAGAGAGAGAGAGAGAGAGAGAGAGAGAGAGAGAGAGAGAGAGAGAGACTGACCTCCACTCCAGGGTGTCTCCAGCTTCAATGTACAATAACCCTGGGGACTCTGGAGGTATCAACAAAACACAGACCTGACCCCACTCTTGGAGACAGGGGAGGCAAAACTAAGGGGTTGGAGGATGAGTACCAGAACAAGCTGCTCCAACCTGGATATCCTGTACAGTATACAAATATCTCCCAGGCACCCACCCCATGCCAAGGCCTGGCGCCTCAAAGACTGGGACCCAAAAGAATCAGACAACCAGCAGTGAGGAGCTGCGATATTATTTGGCAAGTGCAGTCACAAAGGGCCACTCCTCTGTGGTGAGCAGGTTGGTGTGAGGTGAGGAATGTGGTTTTAAATCCCTGATGAGCAGTTAGGTTTTGCACAAAGGGAAAAAAATGTCCCAGCCACAGACAGACTCCTAACCACAGCCACAGACTGTCAGCCACAAAATAAACCCAAATGACAGCGACAAAGAGACCCTTAATCCAGGAACAACCAACAGACTCACCCCAACACCAACCATGAAAGGGTTCAAACCCAGACAGAATACTCAGGACAAACCTTTGCATTCTTCCTGTTCCCAGGTCTGACCTTGCCCTTGGGGCCTGGACAGAAACGGTCACGGGCAAGGAAACCCCTGAGCTGAGTTCGAAGAAGAAAAGTTAGAGTATGTGGAGCAGAGGATACCTTTTGAAAACTGCGATCTGCTCCAGGTTTGCCTAAGACCCCCCAGCCCCAGGATGGCCAGAGCAGAGCTCCCTCCTTACAATATGTCTACACACTAAGGTCTCCCTACCTCTCACGGTCTGTCCACATCTTTTGACTTTTTCACCACCTCCACTCACTCCTATGCACTTGGCAGTGCTGTCACCCTCATCCCTTTCCAAGACTGGTCTCAATTACATTCCAGCAACTTCCAGCCCACTCTGCCCAGTGGGCCCCGTACACTCTACATCCTACTTGGTCTCTCCACAGCCGCTCCTCCAGCTGCCCTTCCCCCTCTGTGAAATGCTGCTCCTATACACCTTGGTCCAGCTTCATACACAGAGGCCCCAGCACTGGCCTTTACCTGAGAGAACACCTCAACGGGCCACCCCAGGAACCTCTTGTCTTCTCACTCCACCCTTTCCCTGGAGAGCTTCAACCCCCTTCTCCAGAAGAACCACTCCCAGAGCCTGACCTCCAGTCCCGACCCTTCTCCTAAGCCTGGCCCCAACTACCCAGCTGCCCACTACATACTCGTTCCTGTCGCAGGCATGCTCAACTCAGGGTTTACATCATGACCTTCCTCTTATCTCAGAAAATGGTGCCAAGTCCAGTAGCTCTAAAACTAGGGCCATTCTTTCCTTTTCTTTCTCCTCAAGTCCTCTGATGTCATCAATCTACCACCTGAGAAATCTGGGATCAGACTACTTCCCAACAACCCCATTGGCACCTTGGAGTCAGGCCCTGTCCTCTCCCCCTGGATTCATGCAGTGGCCTCCAGTGCATCTACTAATTTCCACTCTGTCCCTCTCATAGATTCTCCTCACAACACCTAGGGTGATTGTTCAAAAGTCCTATCATCTTAATCTCTGGCAAAATCTTCAGTGATCTCAGTGCCCTTAACTAGGAAAAACTCCAGAATCTTTAACACAACGTCCAGTGTCTGTTTAATCTGGTACCTGCCTACAAGCCCAGCCTCTCAGTCCCTAACTTAACATGCTCTGGCCATTCTGGAGTCTTCTGCCTGCCACCTCCAGTTCCTTCACAACCTTCTTTCTACTCAGAGGCCCATGGCTCAAACCCACAATAGTGCTTCTCAAGTTGTTACATGCCTACAAATCACCTGGAAAGATTGCTAAAATGCAGATTCTGATTCCGTGGGCTAGGCTTACACCTGAGATTCTACCAGGGGTCGGGGGAATGGGGCTCAAACTCAGGGCCTCCAGTATGGTAGGCAAGTGCTCTACCACCAAGCTACATCTTCAACCTAAAATTCTCCTTCCCCAAGGAGGTCCCAGACAGTGCAGGTGTGGCTGGTTCCTTGGCCTCAGAATAGCTAGGATATAGAATGTGCTTTTCCTTTCTGACTCCACCTTTAAGTCCTATGGAACTCTCAGGGCTCAGTTCAAATACCAGTCTCTCAAAGAAATCTTACCTGTCTTCCAAGAGCCGGTTAAAGCACCCTCAAGCTCCAATGTTTTATTTTCATTGAACTACACATGGCTTCTCCTTCGAATGTGCACCAAACTAAACTGCCATGCCTCATTCTTGTTATATTTTCAACTTTTGGCTCCTAGGGAGACAATCAGCTCTAAGAGAGCAGGAAACCACAGTATCTTCTTCTATTAGAGGCCAACAGCATCCAGCTCTGGGCCTAGCACATCATCATCACCAGGAATAGAAAGGTATTTCTCTTACCTACCCTGTGTCTATGTCCTTTCTTCTCAGAGTAGTGCTTCAGTTTTCCCTTGGGGAGCCATGTCTCCCCTACTCTCAATTCTTACAGTTTAGGTCATGAGACCCAGACCTGGCCAATCACAGCCTTCTATCCCTCTGGCCACAGTGATTGATTTAGAGATAGACACATGCCCAATGATGTTCCTCCTGGGACTTTTGTTAAAAGTACTGAGGAAAAGATTCTTCTCTTTCTGTGGTAGTTAACCAGTAGGAACAGCTATCTCTATCCTGCTACCACAGAGACAAAGAATGAAAGAAACATAAAATAGGAGAAGAAGCAGATTTCCTGGATGCAGCCATTCCTGGCACCTGCACTTGCTGTTACAGAGGCCAAAAATTTCCTAATTAAGGGCACTGAGATCACTGAGGATTTTGCCAGAGATTAAGATGATGGGACCAAGTAAGTTATGTTTCTGTCACTTGCAACCAAGAGTCCTGACTAATGCAACATTCAAATAAATATTGGGTGTTGAATGAATTAAACGAGTGTGTGAGTAAAGCCTGCCACAAGGACTCTGAAACTCCTCCTAGGTTTTCAAGCTCTCCCTTCAAATTCCCACCATCTGTCAGCACAACAACCTTCCTGAGATCACAGGCCGAAACTCAGAACGGAAACGTGCTCTTCAGCTTCACTCTGTGTACACAAATAACGCCTACAGCTGGGTCAGATGCCAGCACTGGAGCTGGATTGGTCAAGGTGGTCTGGTTTCCAGGGCTTCCAGGTGCCCCACCAGGACTGTCAGCACTGTGCCTTGTCCTACCCTCTGTCCACCGCTGAGCACCAAACCCAACCAGGGCAGGCTCTGTGCCTTTGCACATACTCCCTCTTGGCTAATGTCACATGGCTCTGCAAGGCAAGCATCCAACATGGGGTGACTTTTACCTGCTTCCTTTACAGCTGTCAACTTGAAATAGATTCGGCCAGGGAAGAGAGGGAGTAATACGGAGCATCAGGAAAGAGATGCCTAATTATTTCCCTGTGAGTCACCTCAGAGCAGAGCCCTGGGACAGGTTTGAGGCTGGCCTAGATGTCCCTTTAGATGACTCGGAAAGCAGGTGACTTCTTCAGAGCCAGTCCTTACCCAATAAAGTATAAAACAGAGGAGAAGGTACATGGCAGCCCAGGCAGGAAAAAAATGGCTGAGCTAAAACTACTCCCTGAGAGCCAGAACAGGGCTATGTGCTTGTCCTGCCCAGAGGACGGACAGGTGAAAAAGGACAGGTGTGGCAGAGGGAAATGACTGTCCCCTTTCAGGGAAGGGGAGAGTCCTATGCCTCCTGGGATGAGATCCCTAGGAAAGAGGCTTATAAATAAAGTACTGATAGAAAAAGAATCACTGGTCCCCCCCACAGCCTCCAGGACAACTCTCCCACATGGATCGGGGTAGCAGGGCTATCCCGCTAGTCAGAGGCAGGTAGACCACCCTGCAAGTGCTCATCAAATTCCAGGAAGACCCACCTCTAGCCCCAGACACTCTTGGGCAGCAGTCCCTTCTCCTCCTCTGGCCTGGGGCCCTTGCTCTCAAACTCCACTGCTCCTACCAATCCCGTTTCAGTCCCAGTCTCTCCTCAAAGACACTCCTGAGCCTCAATCACACTTTCCTCCTGCACTAGCAAGCTTAATTAGATCCTGCCTCCAGAGGTGTCAGGCGCTCTACATCCCCCACGGGGATGGATGGAAGCAGCTGGTCCTGGAGCCAAAACAACAGCAAGGCTTCGAGACTTTCTCTCACATGCCCTCCCTCCATGCTTATCGACCCTTAGCCTCTTACCTTCATGGTGGGGGGCGCAGTGAGAGGAGGGGACAGCGGCTGGTCTGGGAGGGTCACATCTGGGCTGTTGGCCAGCTCCTGCTTCCTGTGAAGAGACCAAAGAGCATAGAAACAGTGAGCAAGAGCCTGCCTAGGCCTCTCCTGTGTGCTCTAAGGGTGGACTGGCTTGGGGAAGCAGCTTAATGCACAATGCAAAAAGCTAGAGCAGACTACATTTCCTTACTGACATGTACCAGCACCTACAGCAGTGCTACTCTAAAGGCGGTCCCTGGGCCACCAGCAACCTTTGGAAACTTTCTGGAAATGCAATTTCTCAGGTGCAAGCCAGAATCTCCAGAGGTGAAGCCCAAGAACCTGTTTAGAAAGCACTACAGAGAACTCTAGTGCACCTGAAATCTCAGAACCATGGGTTTAAAGAGACACAAAACTGGGCCAAGGGAAGAGAAGGGGCTAGAGATCAACGTGTGGGATGTATTCTCACTTGGGCCCCTCTGACTTTACACACACATACACACACACACAGACTGACATGGAGATGCCAGGGTTACCTGCTGTGTGAGCTGCAGGTAAAACTTATTTTAGTCCATGTCGGCTAGGACCCAGAAAAGGCAGCTAAACAGAGCTGTGTCACCATGGCAACACGATTGTAACAAGTTCGCCACACTCACACTCTCCCCACTCCCCATCTGGCCCTTTTACTGGTGACCAGGGAGAGCTTGTTTGCCGTCCCATCATCAGGCAGACTGTTCAAAGTGGGAGAAGGCTCCACAGTGAGTTATGCAAGAGGGCCAGCTGGCCAGAACCTGGGGATTCCCCCGGCATAGGGACACTGGTGTCTGGGATGTGCCTGGAGAAAGCCCAAGAGGAAATGAGAGGGCAAGAACAACAGTACTGAGAACCTACAAAACCATGCTGTCAAAGCCTCCAGCTTTACAAGAGCCCCACCTTAAAGTAGTCAGGAGAGTCAGCCTGACACCTATGTCCTACTTCAGTGATAAAAGGACCCCCACTGCCACCTGCAGGGAATGCTTCTGTACCTATTTCTAGCCCATGTCCTGCCAGTGGAGGTGACAAATCCAGCCTAAGTCCTTTTTGTAAGAGAGGCCCACATTCCCTACAGATCCCAGCACCCCCCAGCTCCTCAGAGGCCTGGGCCTGGCCCTAGGGCCCAGGCACCATCCAGTCCTGCTCCCCTCAGCTCATGGCCCATCTAACATCTCTTGAGAAACCAGGCATGTTATCCTGGCACAATAACCCTGGCTGCCCGTACAGCCAGCCACCCTCACTGTTCTCTCAGCAGCCAAACAAGGAGGCTGCAGGATATCTGGCTCAGCACAGAATCGATACATCTCCACAAACCCCAACTCTGGCCACCACCAACATCCCTTCCTACAACTCCATCTGTCTTTATGCGCATTTCTTCCTGGACCTTGGTGATATGACGTGTGATGGCTGTGGAGAGGGTCTCCCTGACTCCTGACCCAGACTGTTAACTGGCACAGGAAGTAGCGGGCCAAGACTCAGCACGTGACACACGCGCACCCATGTGCACACACACATTCACACAGAAAGGGATGCACCACCTCCCCTGACCTCTCAGCTAGAGCCACCCACTTCCCCTTCCATGTAGAGCAACAGACATCACCACTGTGAGGTCCTGCTGCTGCTCTGCCCTCACCTGCCTTGGTCCCAGCAGAGCTGGGCCAACACAGGCCTGCCCTCCTGCCACTTGTCCCTTCCCAGGCAGCTCCTATTTTGCCGTGATGGGCCTGGCCCCTGAAAGCTAGAAGGAGAGAAGGGAAGGAAGAAAGGAAGGCTATCAAGGATGGGAGCACTGCCCACAGGTCCCCTAAGGTGAGGACAAGGACAGCTTTCCCTGCGGGGCCGGAAATCTGGGAAAATCAACCAGAGAGCAGAGGAAAGGCAGTCCACAACCCAGATCTCTGGCCCCTTGGAGGTGGCTTGTGAACACCCTGAACAGCAGCAGTTCTGGCTCTCCAGGAATAGGGGGCAATGCTGGCAGGTTTTTAATACCATCAATCAAGGAACATTCATGCACTCATGCTGTCTGGTTTTATACCCACATCCACGGGACCAGAGCAGATGTAACTACACTGTCTGTGGTCTGTGAGTCCTGGGAAAAAAAGGGCCCGCACCCAACCCCTCCCTGGTCTGAGCCCCTCTCCCCCATGTCAGCTTGTTAACAGCACCCAGCTCTCATCCCTAGAGAGTAGAGAGAACCATCAAGTGGAAACACAAGGAAGTTTCCAGTCAGAACAATTTCCCAAATGATACCTAAGTTCAGAAGCGAACACCCATGGCTAACAGACTCATATTAGCCCCAGCACTGTGTCCAGGACTCAGGAGGTGAAACCCAGGTAAGCAGAAGGCATGGCTGCTACCCTCAAAAAGATCAGTACGTACACATCAGCCCTTGCCTGCAAATCAGAATCCACCTCACCTTGGTATACACATGGCTTTGGGTAATAGCTAGAGGGAGCCACATTGCACCATCCCCACTTGTGGCTCCAACCCTCCCCCCTATTTAAGAGCTGAGCACCTTATAAGAATAAAAGGTGATCATATGAAGACACAGACAAATGGAGAGCCCCATGTGACAATGGAGGTGGAAGTTAGAGTGATGTGGCTGAAACCAAAGGAACACCAAGGACTGCTGGTACTGCCAGGCGCCAGAAGAATGTTTCCCCAGAAGCTTCAGAGAGCTCATGGCCCCGCTAACATATTGATCTTGGACTTCTGGCCTCCAGAACTGAGCCAATAAGCGTCTGTTGCTTTAATCCACCTAGTTTTAGCACTTGGTAATGGCAGCCCTAGGAAAGCCATACACAGCCCAGGCCTTGGTCTTGATTGGAGGATCAAAAACAAGGAGATGAAATCCCTGCTTCTGCCTCACCATCCCTGCTCTGATCAGCTATGCTTGACCTTGTCCTGCCCCAGCCCTCACCAGAATGACAAGTACATATGAGCCACCCTGTCCCCAGGACAACCAGACCTGACCCAGCTACCACCTGGTACACAGATAAGAAAAAGAAAAAAAAAAAAAAAAAAGATAAGATAGAATAAGCTGCAGTACTCAGTGTAATTCCTGCCCTTTCTTTCCCACCCAGGCAAACATGTCACATATGAGTAGGTCAAACTAATATGCTTATATCAAGGGATAACCTTCAGTCTGCTTGCATTTATTATAAGCAGAGGTGACAACTTTCTTGTGAGTCACAATACCCTTGCCATGTGCCGTGGCCCCAAGGTCAACCTAGTCATAAACTGCTGTAAGACACGAGGTCTCAGACCCACTGGGGACCCACAGCGACCCTTAAGAGGAAGTGTTGGTGATGGAGACAACCTGAAAGGAAGAGGAAAGGAAGATGGACAGAAGGCAGAGGGGGAAGGAAGACTATACATTTGGCTGGAAAAGAAGGGAGTGAGGGCAGCTGAATGGGAAAGTCTGAAGAGCCTCCTCCACCTGGGGTCCCAGACATGCTGCCCACTCCGCATCTCTGCTGCCCGGAGCTGCCAGGTGCTGAGGTCCCCCACTCTGGAAATTTTCCCCTCAAAGCATGAGAGATGCTGGGGCAGAGAGAGCCCCAGGGAGGCCAGGTATGGTCCCAGCTAACTTCAGCCAAATGCGGCCCCAGGAGGAAAGGATCAAAGGGCCTTGGAGTAGAAGGTAGTTCACCTAGAGAGCACTGGTTCACCAGACAGGGCCGGATGGGTCACAGGAGTGGTGCCTCTGCCCCAGACCCTCAAAGTCATGCAACTGTCCACCACCACTTGCAAATGCCTCTGGAGAGCGTGCTACACTAGGAACCAAGAGATTCCCGGGTTCGGGGTCTGTTCTACCTGCTACTCTGCTGTGTGACCTTGGTTACGTTACCTCAGGTCCCTGTGTCTCAGTTCCTTCACCTGCAGAGAGGCAGGCAACAATGTTCTGAAGATTTAAAAGTAATGGCTGTGAAATAAAACATGAAGTCCTATTATGACGCAGACTGTGATGGTCCCACGACATAAGATGGTGATCTGGCCTCCACGTGGAGATGGAGAAGCCAAGGTGCAGAGCTGTTTAAGTGTCTTGGAAAATATTTCTGGCATCTCAAATAAGCATCATTTCCAGCCCTGGGGATTTACTCTTAGGACTATAACCTCTAGTTAATAATCAACAGCAGGAAAAATACCCACCTAGCAGCAGATGGCTCTGGGGCAGATGGTGGAAAGCCTCTCTCTGGCAGAGAGTTCTGGGAAACCTGCAAACTCCACTTTTCTGCATCTCTCACCACCCCACTGCCCCAACCACACACACAGCTCTTGCCATCCATGCAGCCAAACTAGAAGTATACAGACAGCTGAATGCTGTAAAGAGCTTCTCATGGGAAAAATAAAAAGAGAGAAATGTGAGTCACAGTAGCCAAAAGGTGGAAGCAACCCAAACATCCATCAACCAACAAATGCAATCATTCCATACAATGGAATATTATTTAGTCACAAAGAGAGATGAAGTCATCATACATGCTACAGCACAGAGGGACCTTGAAAACACACATGTGAAAAAGAACGGGTACAAAGGGCCACCTACTGTATTATGTGATCTCATTTCTACAAAAAGTCCAAAATAAGAAATCCAGAAATAAAAAGTAGATTACTGGTTGCTAGAGGACTGAGGGAAGAGGGAAGACTACCTGCTAATAAGTACAGAGTTTCTTTTTGAGGTGATAAAAATATTCTGGAACTAGATTGTGGTGATGGTTGCACAACTTTGGGAATATATTAAAACCTACTCAATTATATGTGTGTGTGTGTGTATACATTCACTCTATATTTATATATTATACTTTATTATAGAAGGATGGATTTTATGATACATGAATTATCTCTTCATTTTTGAAAAAGGAACAACAAAGGGGTCAAATGGACCCATCTGTCATTCCTGCTGCTTAATTTGGTGTCCCCAAGGGCCTGAGTGATTCACGTCCTTGCTTTGTGGCCATGGCAGTGAAGGTTCACAGTGTGGAGCAGGGCTTCCTGTCCACCCCACCCTGATGAAAGCCACACTTCTCTGCCCCACACTCAGCTCTCTGAAATACCTGCAGCACAGCCACCCATGTGGAAGACTTTACCTTTCTAACTTTGCCTACTTCTCATCCTGTATGACCAACTAGACTAGACACAATAGTCTAAAAAATACAACAAAATCAAATGGTCCAAGAGAAATCACCATGAGAAACAGACATAATGAGAGAAGTCAGAACTAGCTCTAGGTAGCTAACTCTGCTGAGCTGGACCCTCACAGTCCTAGGTCTGCTTTCCCCTCCATAAAACGGGCAAGTTAACTCTCATTGCCTAATCCCTCTGCAGCTCAACATAACTCATGCGTTAGACAATTCACATGGTAGCAGAAAATTACATGCTCACTGGGCAAGCAGGGCAGGAAGGGACAGCAGAGACGGGCTGTAGTGGAGGCTGAGGGTTAATGCCCAAGGAAATCCTCCTGGCCATCTATGGAGTCCCAAGACCCAGCAGCATAATCATGTGGCCTTCATGCCAGGAGTTCTGGGGCATCCCCATGGCTGGGAAATGACATTCAAGAACATCCATCTGTGCTGGCAGGACAGGCAGCAATAAAGGGCTGGCTCTGGCCTTGGGAGATAGGCAGTGCATATAGTGGTTCAAAAGCATGGTTTTAGTGTCCAATAGGCCCAGACTTGAACTTCAGTATCATCCCTGACCCGCTATGTGGTCAAGTTCTTTCACCTCTCTGTTCTTCATCTGTGAAATGGTGTAATACCACCTGCCTCCTCATTTTGAAGAAGGTGTTTTGAATAAGGCTGCAAAACACTTAGCACAGTGCCCGGTGTCTCAGCAGAATGCAATATGTGACCGCCACTGCTGTGGTGGTGGCTATTGCTGCTAAGGCTTCAGTTAAACCAATTGGACAAAATAGGTATATGGAGAAGAGGCTGAAGTAGAAAGCCAATCAGAGGGCAGTAATGTATTCAACTCTGGGATACTTGATGCCCCACATACTCTGCACCCTAACTCTAGGAGGCATAAACATGAAAGCCTCCGCTGCTGTGGGGGTGCACAATAGGTCCTGGGTGTGTGTACCTGGCATAATTCCAAGCCCCATGAGGAAAGACACAGAGGTAAGAGCATTTACATCAACAATGCTCTGCCTGGGGCGAGAGTAGAAGCAGAGAAAGTTGTACCAGGCCAGCAGAACTGGTGGTAGAGGGAGGGCAGAGGGCTTTGGACTCCAGAGTGGAGGCTCTGGCTGGTACAGTGAGTACCCTGATGGGTCCCTTGGGAAAGAGCGAGGGTTGCTCACCTGTTGGTACTTAGCGCTGTTGACTTGGGTGTCCCATCCCACCCTGTGCACTCTAAAAGGACCCCAGATATTTAAAACACAATGATGGATCCATGGGGATTCAAAATTCCCCAAAATGGCAACCCCCACCCCAATTCAATCCCAGGGTTCCTGGATGCTGAGACAAGCAGCTCCGAGGAGAAACTATTAGATGCTACCCAACCGCCTAATGACACAGATAAGGACACTGAGGCCCAGAGAGTCACAGCAGTTGCCAAAAACTATGCCTCCCTCCTCTTCTCCAAAGAAGTGGTTTCCAAATCACCCCAGGCCAAGTGTACAGGAAGTGAGCACCAATAGTTCTGGAAGAACTCATCAGGAAACACACAATTCATTTATGGATAGACATGTGTGATGCACCTACTAAATGCTGGGTCCCTATATGAGGAGGTTCAGGGTGTCTGCAGGTCACCTCAAGGAGTAGACACATGACAGATGCCTGAGACAGAGAGCAAGAGGCGCCAGGCCATGCAGCAGGTGTGCCCAGTGCACCAGGTGGGGCTTTGCTGCAGCCCATGCCCAGAGAAACAAGATATAGCTGCACACAGGGACCCAGGCAAGGCTCTGCAGCTACAGCTGTAGAACACACCCTGCACTCTCTTCAGGTACATTAGGTGCAGAATGCACTGCCCTTCCCTAGAAGACCCTAAAGCCCTAGACCAGGACAAAGGCAGGAGCAAGGGTAACAGCCATAAGAAGCAGGACACAACAAGGTTAACCCAGAGAACGAGCACAGCCCTCAGCAGCCCCTGGCAGGGCACTGCTGCACTTCCTCCAGCAAAGTCTCAGGGTGAAGGACCAACCTACCACAAGGGCAAGCCACCACTCCCTTATTTGGAAAATAAGCCTTTGCCAAACAAGCAACTGTTAGAGCTGACTAATGCTTCACAGTTCACATATGAACAGGTAGTAACTAACTCCAGGGGCTCGGTGTAGGCCCAAAGTCACAGTCAGAAAATGCAAGACGTAGACCTCATTAGAGAAATCGCCAACTCCAAACCCAGTGTTCTTTCCCAACACCATGAGAAAGCCAGCTCTACCCAGTCCAGATGCCACTGTAGGGTGTGAGGAGAGGACATCAGCCACTGCCTTCTCCCATTTTCTACACTTGAGTTCTTGGAGACCCAGGGTGGGCTGTGTCCCAGCACAGGCACTGGCAACTGTCTTACAAGCATCTAAGAATATGATCTTCTCCGGGAAAGAACAGTGAAATGTGAAGATCATCCTGAAGGCACTGCACACCCACATGAAGGACCCATTGGTGAGACATTAATTGTGGGATATAGGCACAAGAGAATGAATAAAGTGTCATGGGACACAGGGAAGAGAGGCCCAGGCCTCCTTGGGGGTTGGTTAATATATCCCAGAGAAGGTAACAGCTTCCCTAGGCACAGAAGGAAAGGCCGAGAAAAGCTGAGAGAGAAAAGCTGAGGGGGTCTACAGGGGCAAAATGATTGGCACGGTGCTATAGAAAAAAAGTGTCTCTGACACTGTCAGGAAGCATGTACTTAGCACATGGCAGGTCTTTAAAAGGCAAATGCCAGCAAACAGTCCCTAGGAGCTTCTCATGTCCTAGAGACTGCCTGAAGTGATATATATATATACTCTCATTCACTTCTCACCAGGATCCTTTGGAGGAAATATTATTGACACTATTTTACAGATGGGAAAACTGAGGCTCATAGAGGTTAAGTAACTTGTGTGAAGTCGTATAAAGTCACTTATGCAAAGTCCCTGTAAGGCTTAGGCCCATGAAGTTTGGCTCCAAAAGACATGACCTGGACCACCATGCCACACTACCTCTAAAGAAAAGGTCCAAGGACAAGGGCCTTCCCTGAGTGGTTGCGTGGGTGCATCCTCTTGGCACCCAAGGCGTCTGGGGTTGTCTTGAAGCAGGAGACAAATAAGATCTCAAACAAAGCCACTCAGACACAGAGTAGGAGAAAAGGGCAACTTTAATCTGTCAACGTCTCAGCAAGGGACTAACATCTCCTTGAGAGCCCTGAATAAAGCTTTGTCTCTATTTTTATATTGCTTCTTCTCTATAAGGCAATTTTTCACTGGAAATGAGCATGAAGCAAAGTTACAGAAGCAGAGCAGGGGTTAAGGGGGTGAACAGTGATCAAGGGAGGAGGAGAGCGGGGAGTTTTGGCGGAACTTTGCGAGTCCGTTATGCTCTGCTGTCATTACATTATAGATGCATCTGTACATAGCGGGGGTCATAACCATCAATTTCCTCAGGCAGCTTGGCTATTCAGTTAACCCACAGTGGCCCAGTTTCACCCCAGGAAGTGCTTTCCTCTTTTATTCCCCCCTTTGAAGCTCTGTTGAAAAGCCTTACTCTTTATATCAGCTCTCCTCCTTGCATTCCAGCTGACCAACATCCATGTTTACATAGTCGTCCATAGACTGATATCCCTTACCCCACAAAATGCGGCGGGTTATTTTCTGGTCTATGGTAGTTTCTATCATAGACTTCAAGACCCGCCTTGCCACTGGTAACAGACAAAGGATAATCAAGCAGATCCCCACAATAGCAATGAATCCTCCCACCATGGCTTTAAAGCCACCGGAAGTTGAAAACCCTCCTCCAAACGTTTCTCCCGGATTCCATCCTTTCCAGGTCTGGACTGATACACGGGATAACTCCTGCATCCTATTAGTGATTTCTTTTATCACCCGTCCTTGATCATCAATCTGAAGGCAACAACTGGTAAAATTGAACTTCCCGCAAACTCCTCCTTCTTTAGCTAGTAGGTAATCCAGTGCTAATCTACTTTGATATACTGCATTTTGACTTTGTTGGTTAGCTAAGAGATTCAGCATGAGAGCAGTTTCGTTGGTTGTGATTTCTAGCACAGCTTGTAGTCTAATTATTCTATTTAACATGTAAGTGGGAGTTCGATATCCCCACACCCCATCTTCAGACCAAGTGGCTGGGCCATAGTACTGGATTATTCTCTCTGGTGGCCATTCATCATCTTTCCAATTACCTGTGGGTATATTCCTTTTCTCATGGAAGTGAGCATATACAGGGCAGCCTAACAATTCCCCTTGGTGTAAGGGCAGGAGGAA